CCATCATCTTGAAAACATGTCACCCTCCTTTGTTCATACAAAGATCTATAACAGCAAAATCTTATATATATTGAAGTTGCATAGTTGGGATCCTAAAGAATCTAGTGTATATAGAACTGTGTGAACAGTTAATAAAATATTTTATTGTGAACAACCTTGTATTGTATTGTTCGTCCGTGTGCTCACCACAACAGAACCTACGAAGGAGATTCATAGGACAACATTTCAGTTTATTTGCTGAAAAACCCTTTTTAGTTGTTATAAAAGTTGTGTGTATATAAAAGTTATTTTGTCACATATTTTTAGTGCATTTTACCATTATGTCAGGAAGAAGGCATGAAAGTAATGATGGCTCAAAAATATAAAGGAAAAGTGTTTCTCTGTATTTGAAACTATGTTATGATTGAAAGCTGGTGAGCATCACGCCAATGTGAGCGCTTCTTTATAATTTGAAAAAGCTACAATAAGAACAATTCTAAAACATTCAGATATTAGTAAAAACCTCAGCAATTATTACTTTAAATCTTTCACCAACAATAAGTAAATCATTCAAGAAATCATTTGTTTGAAGAAATGAAAAGAAAGTTTAGTATTTTGGTGATGCAACAGCACATGGCTCTATACCAGCTTATAATTATAGAAAAGACAAAGTATTTTCATTCATATTCAAGAAGAAATCAGAGATGAATCAAAAAAATTGTAGCTAGCACAGGTTGGTTTGATAGATTTAAAAAACAAACTAACCTTAACAGCATGCATACCAGTGGTGAAGCAGCTAGGATAGATGTCAAGAAAGATTAAAAAGTTTAGTGTATAGACTATAAACAAGTATTATAATGATTCTATTTTGTGTTGTTTCACTTAGCACATGCCATTTTCAGAAATGCATTCTATGCACAAACCAGAGTAAGGTTGTACTGATACAAGATCATTTTTGTATCATCATCAGCTCTCTTCTTATTACTTGTTATAGTAACTTTTACTGTACTTAAATAACATATAAAATGATATATCATTATTGAAATCTGAAAAGATAATCAAATTAAATTGCAGTATTTTTTATTTATTGTTACAAATAAGCAATTACAGTTTTATAATTCAAAATATTTTATATAGAAAGCATCCCATATTTTACAATTACTTTAGCATATTTCTATCATTTCCCCCCCAAAAAAAATTCACCTTGAAAGATACTTGAATTAAAGTAATTTTTTAATTGTAGAATTTTGTCAAATAGCAATTTTATGAAAATTAATTTGAAAACACAGTCTGTCCAAAACTGGGACAGACTGTATTGCCATCTGATGAAATTCTACAATTGAGACTTTTGCAAAGATTCATCACCAAGGGGAAGCTAAGAAAAATCTACATTTACCAGCGCCTTTTCCTCAGTAGATATAAAGCTCAAATATCCATGAGTAGTAAGGATGGTAAGAAAACGAAGATGTCTGTAAGATCCTCCAGTTCCAATTTTAACTTTGTAATTTTAATTGGATATTTTTCTGTGTTTTTAAACTTGATGGCCAAACAACCTAAAAAGAAAGGTCGGATCATCAAATGTTTGTATTCTGGAACACTAGAAGTGAATAAATAGTGGTTCCCAGTTTTGGACAGACTGTGTCTTCAAATTAATTTCCAGTAATTTTTTAATTATTTTAATTCAAGTATCTTTCAAGATACAAATTAAAAAACTTATTGCAAAATCAAAAAAGGATAGAAATAACATATTTAATTTGAAAAAATAAAACCAAACTGATAGTTACCTAAGACATACAAATGGAGACTAATTGTAATCAAATTTCTACAATTGAAAACTCCCATGACACTTTTTTTAGAATTTAAAAATATTTGATCATAATTACTCAAATTATTTTTTCAAAAAATAACAAAGTAATAAAAAAATACATTAATATTATAAAAAAACTAGAGTATAACAGAATTTAATATATTCTGATTATAATAATATCATAAATGAATGAAATTTAATTTATATAATTCTTTGATAACTGCCAAGTAAATGGTTGAAAACCTTAACAGACATCTTGAAGTATGTTTTTTTTTTATCTTAAATTGAATCATTTGAAGAATGATCTTTTCTAAAATATTTTTTGAAAAACTTACAGTAATTTATTTAAATAGTCTTAATGTATTTTTATAGATTTTTGAGTTTTTTATGCTTTATTGTGCTACAGTTTAGGCCAATTTTATTAACAATTTGAAAGATAGCTTATAACAAGATTAAATATATTTTATGATTACACTCAAAATTTTATTTATTGCTTATTTTAACTAAATGTGTGAAGAGCTGTTGTATGTTTAAGAGATGAAATGTGATAATGTTCAAATTATTTAATAAGCTACTTATTGATTATGACAAAGTTTATAATATTTACATATAATTTACAATATTTATTACTATAAAACTTTAATTTTTACGCTACGTAAAAAAATAACTTTTTTTTAGATAACTAGTTATAATATTTCTATTTAAACATAAACTAAACAATTTAAAATATATGATGGATCAGAAAATAAGTTTATCAGTTCTATTTCCTGAGATGTCAAATTCACAAAATTTTCAAATGCTATTAATAATACATGTAATAAAGTATTCTTGCATTCACAGTCATATGATTTGAGATAGATACATAGAAGTAAAGACATTGTAATTTAACCTTTATGACAAAAAGTGGTTTTGCAGTGATGGAATGAGATTCTCTTCTGTAACAATATCTGACACACACAGGTTGACAATCTAAGAACTTACTGCAAAACTTGAAAATACAGTATTGGATTATATCCTATACAATCTAGATTTGATACCTTTTCACCTATTTCCCATCTTAAAAAAATACTTATCAGGATATCACCTCATCTGTAATAAGATATTACAAATGTGCTACCATTAAATAGCTGAAGTAACAGATTTGTATACTCTATGAATCTGTTGTGCAAACCTTCACATGTAATATTTCACATATTATTTAAATAATCTTTGATAAATATTTCAACTATAAAGTTGAAATATTTATCAAAGATTATTTAAATAATAACCTCTATAAAGAGGATTATTTTAAAAAATATTTTATCAATGACATTTCCATTCTATAATATCAGTTCCATTCCATCTATGAAAACTGTCTGTGATTTATGAATGCAGTAAATTTATTTTCTGATCAATAATTATATTTTTATTTTGAAATAGCGAGGTTGAGGCCAAAGTTTTAAATGTGAAAACATGTACGTTGGACGTTCAGCACTGCTTTCCTGTAAGCCTAGAAATTTGGCAATGGTGTGTAGTGCCGAACAGAACAATAAAATGTTCCCAACATTATGTTGAGGCAGGAGTGTAAAGGATCTTACAAATAAGCACCCTTCAGAAACTGGTCAATATCTATTATCATTTATATTACTTAGGATCATTGATACATGACATCTCCATTATAACGGCTACAGTTAACTTGTCTCACGACAATGCGATATACTGATGAGGTCTAATAACATATATGTAACCAACAATTATATCAGAATAAAACTACCAATTTAAATCTATATATATCTACATACATATATATATATACAAGTATGTACAAATCACATAAGATGCACAATATATATTTTCTGAGCAACCATCAATTATTCCATGATGTCTCTCCCACGGTTGGCCTTTCTTTCCAAGCCATGTGTAGTTTGTATAAATGGGGGAGGAATTATTATTATTCTTACCTTCTTCACAATGAACTAATGTTTTGCAGTTCAATTACATGTTAATATAAGATAAAAAAATTTTATTTTATTTCAGGCAGTGATTCATTTACAAATTTTAATCAAAATTTTGTCAATAGATTCATAGCAATAACAGAATATAAAAATTAATAAAAATATTAACTTGTTGTTAATACTTAAAATAGAAATGTAAAAATACTTTTAATATCTGATTTTCAATAGTTCTACAGTTCTGTTCTTATATTGTAAAACTAAAATTCATTTTCAATAGAAAGAAATGATTCATGTCCTTTACAAATATGAAATATTATAATTAAAAGAAGAAAAATATTACAATATTATATTGTCAATTTACTATAAGAAATAAAAACTTTGGAAACATTTTATAATTCACTTATTTAAGATTCACATTCAGAACTGGATAATGATCATATAATGTCTCAATAAACCTTATTGGCATAAGCCTCAAATGGGGATGTTGTTCCTATGCTTCAACAAGCCACTTTTAAGGTTGACTATATGAGCCAAAGACATTAAGAATATGGAACTCTAGAAATTTTTAAGGCCACCATGAAGAGCAATTACATCAATTACAAAGAGTTACAAAGAGGAGAAGCCTGTTTCCAGGGTGTGGCAAATCTAGTATGATGATTGCCATGAAACCAACATGCATCCAATGAGCATTTGTAATTCAAAAGATATAATCATATTCAAACATCAAATTCCATACAATCAAATTTTTAAGTGCGTGTTCCAAGTATTCCATTTTATAACTCTTGTTTCCTGAACAAGGCTTCAGTGTTGGCTGAAGACATTTGAACAGCTTTGCTATTGTTCTGTTGAGTTGACAATGAGGTTTTTTAAGACATTATATTAAATACTTTTGTTTTAATATTATATTATAATTATTAGATTACATAGATCACAAGTATTTAAAATTTTNAACATGGAAAAACGCCCACATAGGGGCGATATTGTCCCTGTTGAGAAACATTGAGTTAGTGTGTTCCTGTTTCAGAACTAGCCAAGGGTAGGAATAATCTAGAAAAATTGAAATTTAATGTTAAACAATCATAAAAAATGGATTTGTACAGTTTTACACGCAAAGATATGTAAAATTGTGTCCAGGGAATCGAAAAAAAAACCAGAAAAAAGTCCGTTGTCCAATAAGTTGGCATATTTGATAAACTGGCACCATGTTGGTCCTGATGATGCCAGGTTAATGGAAAGTTACTGTATTAAATATAATTTTAAATAATATATTAAAGATATTATTACCACAATGCCATGTTGGCTGTTAAATAAAATTCCACTTCTCTATGAATATTCTGCAAAGGTAATGATTCTGCAAATTCAGAACACTTTTTCTTTAGTTCTCCAGAGACAAAAGTCACTATAAAATAATATTTGTAAGTTTTAAATATTTAAAAATCTTCCTATTTGCTATTCAATGCAATTTCAGAAATTCATTCATTTTAAAATGTTTTCTAAATAAAATATTCCTCCTCTTCAAATAAAATTTGTTTCTAATTCAATATAAATATTGAATTAATGTATCAGATTAATGTATCAGTATTTTAAAACTTTAAAATTATGTAAGAAGAATGGAAATCCATTTTTCAAGGAAATTCTTTTTAAATGTAAATATATATTTTTTTAATCTGTAGAGTTTCCTGTAGAACAGGTCCTCAGGGCTTCACACAAAACACAACGGACAAGTCAGCTCAACAATAACTGAGTATTTAATTAACTTTCATTAGGGTACAAACGGGATAATTCCATAAGACACGAACTATTGACAATAATATGTTATATCCAAGTGGTAAGAGCGAACAATACATACGTTTACGCCTTTCCTCTTTCCTTCCTTGACTTTGGGGGCTCACGACGCGGGACGGTGAATGATGTGTAACAACAGAAGATATTAACAAAATTACTCACGACAATCTTCCACAGCATACAAACATTTGAAGAAGAACTAATCTGTGCCTATGAATCTTCAGTCAGTCTTCTTTCTCTTGAACCAGTTGTTATTCGCTGCCACACTGTCCTTGATTAGATGCAAACCAATTTTTGCTATCTTGTCTCCCTATGTCCTTGGGTCTCCCACGCTCAGCGCCTCAATCTCACACACATGGCCAGCACACTGTAGTCAGGAACAATCAGAAAGCAAAAAGGTCCTCCTCTACATGGGTCACGACCTTATATATCCTACACAGTGGATATCCTCCTCACGTGACATCAGCTGGCCAATATATGGTGAACTGGGGACGGGTGGCACCACGAACAAAAATGAAAGGGGTGAGGGAAAAACCGAAACAACAAAAAAAGAAAATAGTTGCGAAGTACTACAAATCTGTTGATAATGTTAGATTTTATAAAAGTAAAAAATTAATGGGAATATAAAATAATAAATTGTATTATTGTATTTATTAAATTCTTTAATTATAAAAAGGGTCATTCCAATATGATATGACTAATTTTAAGTCCTATTTGATTACTTACTCCTTCCCTGTCACATTTTGCCACCAATTTTTAGACACCCATGATGATGTTAAGCCCCAATAGACCTAGGTCTGATAGGCAAGGTTATAGGGTCAAGGCACAGACACGTAAAATAAAGGACTTTACAATTATGGTGGAATTTAATTAATAAGGTTTAATCATGAATATATACAAACAAAAGAACATTAACCTATTTACACCACAGGAGAGGAACAACAATCCATTAAATTTTCAAAACAGGGAACGTGTAAACTATACGAGCAAAAGGATAGAAGATATTACTTCTCCTTTAACGAAATACACAATACTCAACGTACTGACAAAATAATAGTTTTCGGAGGTTCTTCGATGTTTCATGTCTTAATATCTTCTACTTGTTTCATGAACAACAGGCGGATTCTCTACGATGGAATTGGATTCTGTTCTCTTCATTCCTTAGTTCACACGTGTCAGTCCCGTTATTCTTACACCACGAAGTCCTTTCTCTTGCAGGAGCCGGAAAGAAGACAAAGTCCCCTCTTTGGACGGGAGTCCCAATATTTATACCTCCCGCCGTTGAGTGTGACGTGAATTACACGTGATGTTAGTCGCTGACCAATCAACAAGAGCGACGGGTCCCACCCGTTCACAATCCGGTATCATAAAATAAAACAGAATTTTACAGTAAAACCCGATATGACACATGACATATATACAAAAATAAACGGAATTAACTATACATAGTGCTTATGCACTACAATGATGTCACGCTTCATCTGCTATTCCTTGATAACTGAAATCAAGAAATTCTGTAAAACAGATCTATAGTATATTGATTTATTACTATACAGTTGACCCCCCCCTATAACATGGATTCCTATAACAGAAATTCCTATAACGTAGCGAAAAAATTGTAGCAGTATTCGAATAAAGTGACTCGTAAAACGTCGTCGCCGACTCCTGTCGCGACAAGATTGGTCGAATCTGGACCAATAGTGGACGAGCAGCCGAACTACTTTCCACTGTCCAGCGCGATGCTATGGAGAGTTTAGGCGGCTAAACTGAGTTTGCTATCGTCTGTACAGCATTATATATAAATTAGGTACTGTATATATAATTATATATTAACTTAATTTATTGTAACTTTATTATAATTATATATATGCTTTCTGCCGCCTGGCAACACGCTACGGAGATTTTAGGCTAGTAAGTTGAGTTTATTATCGTCTGTACAGTATGTAAATTAGGTACCGTAAGTCTAATACAGCACTAATTTTATACATTTCTTGTGAAAGAAACACTTCTTATTCAACGGCCATAAAAATTATTTATATTAATAATGTCTCCAAAGGTCAATTTATTTTTCTGCGAAAAATTCGTTATCAGAAATCGCGGCCGCCGTTTTGTGAGCTGTTCCGCAACGAAAACAAGCTTGAGCAATGGCGTAGTTGAACGGTGCACACTCGGTAAGTAATCCTACAATTTTTTGTTTACAGCATAGTTTATACGGATTATTCCCAAAAAATTATACGTGTTTTGGAAATGTTGAGTGGAATTAGTCTAGAATCAGTTAATTTTATAGAAGAAAACCTTTCAAACAGCCTTAGTCCATAAACTTCACACGTGTCGGGCTGCGATTGGCTCATGTATTTAATGATTCCTTCAACGTAAAATTCGAATAACGTGGAATGTACCTAAGCGTTATAGGGGGGTCTACTGTACTGCCTAGGTGAGGCTAATTTTAAACATTAGGCCAATAGAATAGAAAAAAAAATTCACTAATTTACCATAGAAAAATAGTCGGATGACATTTGAACATAGGGAAGCTGTGCCGACCCTGGATAGAATCATTGGAAGCATTATATGATATTTTGGTATGTAGCACCCATGAGCTAAATTGCGAGATTGGTGCCCTGTAAAGTGCATGTGTGAATGCGTATAATCTGACTCCTTTACACCATTCAAATATTTTTGCCATGGAAGCTGTCCCATATTCGATAATACAGCGTTTCCATTGGAAATATGCACATACGAATTTATATTCGAATATACAATAGCTATCTTATTGTTTTTCACATGTACAGAAATTTGTAATAAGACACATAATGCAGTTATAATAAAATATTAATTTTAATTAATTCAAAGTACATTAAAATATGAAAATAATTGCACAACATGTATTTATATTTTAAAAAATACAAGGGAAGCAGTACTTCCACAGCTTCCATGGATGGCATGCCACTGTAGGATAATATGTTACATATTCAACTACCCAAACTGGATATAAATAAATTAGCACTATAGATAACCAATGTCCAGCAAGAAATATAAAACTATATAAAAGCAAGCATTTTTATCCATGTTGACTGGTCATTCTCAATTTAACTGACTAATGAAAAATAAACTGGTATATAAATACCAGTTTATTTTTCAGCAATATCTTTATCTGTATCTGTAAAGTTTAAAATTGTTGCCATAAGAACTTTTAATATAAAAGGATAATTATATTAAAAGTTCCTATAGTGTATTTCCAACAGAGCATATTTAGTATGGTATTTCTACTAAAGTGCAACTATTTAAATAAGCAAGAATCTTCTGTGTGATCATTAATCAAAATATTTCTCCATAATGATTTTGGTAAAACAATTTTTTAAATATGAAAATTTTTGAAAATCTTTAGGACATCATCATTCTACAAATATACTTAACAGAATTTATAAAAAAAATAGATAGCCCAGCAAAAAGATTTAAAGATTTTTCAGGAAAAAAAAGATATTGTTGATATGAATTTATCATTTTGAAATATTTGAGATAAAAATTACTAAAGATAAAAATATATATTTCGTTAAATAATTTTTATTTTCTTAATTTTATATTAATATATTATATTTAATGAATTATTTATTTACAATAATAATAATATTGAATTGTATGATATTATATATGGACAATACATACAACTATAATTTATAAGTTCTGCAAGGTTTCCGTAATATAAAGCCATTCCTGTATTATTATTAGCTAATTCTGCATTGCATTCAAGAAGTGACAAAACTTCAATACATTTACTAAAGCTGCAAGAATATACAACATATGATTATTAACATACAAAATTAAATTAAATATTGAAATTTTATAATTTAGAAATAATAATTAACAAATATACAGGTATTATCATTAACTTTAGTGTATTTTTTTCCATTTGTTATTGTAGTATTTAAAACTTAATAAAACTAATTTTAATTTTAAACTGAGAATGTAATATTTCTTTGAAATTTTTCCAATTCTAAGAAAAGTTTAATTTGCAAAAGCAAATAAAATATTAATGAACTAAAATTGATAGCAAGTGCAATTGCTTTACTTAAAATTTAGTTATGGGTAGTTATTGAGTACGGCAAATGGGAAAGGAGACCGAATTCACCTTTGTGCCTAAGGTCCAAAACGTTGTTAAATGTTTCTGCTCATATCCCACTTAAAGTGGCCATGCTCTGCACTGTTTTGCTATTGCATTCTATGGCAACTCAAATACTGTATAACTCATTTGATACATTCAATCAGTCATTCACAATAATTCATTTGGAGTTATTGTACTTGGTTAGCTTATGTGTATATAATAAGAAGCTAAAAATTAACAATATTTACCAGATGTAATCAGTCACTTTTATAATCACATAAAAGAGGTTTTTTTTTGGACAAATAAACTGAAATGTTATGTCCTTCGAATCTGACTATCACCAGAGTTCAAGAATTACTCAGATGATGATTAATTCTCAGATATTTTATTTAAATGCATTTTGGATCAGAATTCTCTCTGATCCCTCTCCAGTAAAGTACAATCTATGACAGTGTGGCGATATGCCATAATTTTGTATATATGTCTTTAGTGTTAAGCCTAATATTAAATTTCCTTAGTCTTTTGTTCTATATCTTTTTCTTGAACTTTCTAACGGTCTTTCCTATCTGCTGGTGGTAACACGTTTTCAGAGAACTATATCAAAAAACAATAGTGTGTAAAAACCCTTAGGCGAATCAGGGAGAGAGATAATGATTCTTGAGCTAGCGTTCAGAAGAAGCAGACAGAAAAAGGAAAAGGTCCAGGTCGTCATTGCTGAGTGAGACATAGAGATCTCAGGTCGTCTGCAGAGAAACGAATGAAATAGACAGACATAAATCAAAAGTTTAATGAATACTTAGAAATCATCAGATCTGAGATAGAGAAAAAGATGGTGAGAAGTGAATTCGGTGCAAGTTCCCATTTTCAGAAGGGTGAAGATCAAACAAAGGAAAAACCCGGGTACCCCACCAGCATTCTTTTCTTTTCTTATTATTCTTACCTCTCATCTCATCCTTTCCTTCTCTATTTCTCCTTTAGAATATAAGTTAGTTTAAGATAGTTTAAGTTAGTTGTAATATTTCGGGAAAATATCTCAACAGGAAAGAACCATCATCTTGAAAACATGTCACCCTCCTTTGTTCATACAAAGATCTATAACAGCAAAATCTTATATATATTGAAGTTGCATAGTTGGGATCCTAAAGAATCTAGTGTATATAGAACTGTGTGAACAGTTAATAAAATATTTTATTGTGAACAACCTTGTATTGTATTGTTCGTCCGTGTGCTCACCACAACAGAACCTACGAAGGAGATTCATAGGACAACATTTCAGTTTATTTGCTGAAAAACCCTTTTTAGTTGTTATAAAAGTTGTGTGTATATAAAAGTTATTTTGTCACATATTTTTAGTGCATTTTACCATTATGTCAGGAAGAAGGCATGAAAGTAATGATGGCTCAAAAATATAAAGGAAAAGTGTTTCTCTGTATTTGAAACTATGTTATGATTGAAAGCTGGTGAGCATCACGCCAATGTGAGCGCTTCTTTATAATTTGAAAAAGCTACAATAAGAACAATTCTAAAACATTCAGATATTAGTAAAAACCTCAGCAATTATTACTTTAAATCTTTCACCAACAATAAGTAAATCATTCAAGAAATCATTTGTTTGAAGAAATGAAAAGAAAGTTTAGTATTTTGGTGATGCAACAGCACATGGCTCTATACCAGCTTATAATTATAGAAAAGACAAAGTATTTTCATTCATATTCAAGAAGAAATCAGAGATGAATCAAAAAAATTGTAGCTAGCACAGGTTGGTTTGATAGATTTAAAAAACAAACTAACCTTAACAGCATGCNATACATTTTTTTAAAATGCTAACTTAACAGGATAACAAAATGTAAACATGAAACAAATATTTCCAATCTAAAATAACTGTTCATGCATAATTCATGTTTATCTGAAAATGCTTAAATCATTATATTTAAAGCATGTATAAAATACAATATATCAGTTCAATCCAAAAAATTTGCAAAATTTTGGCTACTTTCTAGCTATCATTCAGTAATAGACACAAAAATAAGGAGAAATTAAGCTTTCTGAAAATAAGACTCAAATTTGAAATTTATTACTTAATTACATTACATAAAAGAAATTTATTTTGCAAATATATCCACCTGTAGTGTAAATTTATGCTTATTGATGAAAAAGTTATGCATCAAGAAGGGGGTGTTGAATTCAAATGAAACTTTGTTAGTGTGGACACAATGACAGTAGTAATTAGTGATTGCAAAGATCGTAGCATTTTATGCAATAACAGTACAATTCAAAGAAACTTTTAGTACCTTGTTGGATCTCCTTTTGTTTGGAAGCATGAAGGTATGGGGAGGAAGAATGAATTTATTATAAATAAATATGTATGAGAAAGCAGAAAATAACAACAGCTATGCAAAAGGATGGTAGAAACAAGTGATAGGTGAAAAATGCCAGTCACATGTGTTCAGGTTAATCTGTTGTTTTTGGGGCTCAATAAGACGAAAACAAGGATAAGAATTAACTCAATAACTTTAATATAGCAATTAACATTATCAAAAGGGTATACATTAACAAGTATTAAACTGATGTATCCCTTATTTTATGGATATGATAATCATGTGTAGCACTGATACAGTAGGGAGATCTTAATTAACTATAGTATATTCAATGACTGAGCTGACAAGTCTGTTAGCAATGGTCCCCAAAATCATAAACTTGTCAAATCTTACATTAATTTTTGAGTCTTGGAATTTCCAGCAGACCTCTGTGATCACTCCTCAATCACCATGCACGATTCTAGGGCCACTAAGTTACACATTGTGTTAAGTACATAGTTCCAATTCCAGTCCACAACACTACCTTTTCTCCCTCCACTTAGACTAACTACAATCAGACTCTCTTTTTCCCTCGAGTCCCCCCCAAGATTTTATTGAAGCTACTGGTTCTTCCACTTACAAGGAGAGCCTACGGCTTTGGGGTAACGGATTTTGACAATCTTTGGTGTAGAAGTAGTACACCATGTGAGTGTACTACGTGTAAAATACTAAAGTGCAATACTCAAACATAATCAAGAAAATCGAACTTAAAGTTTTTTAGCACTTTATATATAAATTNTTTCATTATAAAGAAGAGCTTGGGCAACATAAGGCTGAATATCAATGAGTGAATCTAAATCAGAAAGATTTTGAAAAATTTTCATTGCTTTGAAACCTAAAAATAATGATAAATTTTAAGCATTTAAAATATATTTATTCTCAAAAATTTAATTAATGATCTAATAAAAACAATGATCATTCTTTAATAGCATATTAAACAGTCAGAACAATTTAAACTAGAAAAAAGGAAATGAAGTTTTAAGATTGTTCATTAAATAGTCAAGTGATAAAATATATTTCATAAATAATGAGAAATTATTTATTGTGATATCATCACAATGCTGGACTGCAATTTTTGATCATATTTTTAATTTATTTAATTTAAAATATATGCTCTCCATCTGAAATTAGTAGTGTCTTACCCCTGTACATCATATTTTTCCTTTAGCAATGGAGTTGTGCTGGTCACGTATTTAACTCTTTTTGAGGAAAAATTTTTAATTGAAATAATGTGACTTCCAGTTTGCATTGGAAGTTTGTATGTAGTTAATCAGGGCCTCCTGCCCCTAAAGTTTCCATATCTGGTCTTGGATTTCATCCATCTTACTCTGTTCTTAAGATTAAGGGAAGATGGATGATCAGATGGACGGATGACAATGGGAATTTATAGGTCTACATTTTTTTCAAATTGCTGCCAAATAACATTTAAAAATACATACAGGAGCATTACATTATTATATAATGTTATGAAGTGGTCACCCTTCCAAAAGTCAAATATAATGATTTTGGTCAGAAAATATCTCAGTCATATAATCAAACAATACAGCCATGATTAATTACAGGGTCAGTAAGTTGAAAAATTTAGTTATGTTTAAAGATAAAAGATGTCTATTTTTTGAATAATCCTTAGGTATTGAAGTCCCAGAGTCTAAATCCCTCATTAAACCTACAAAGAAAATATTTTAGTTACAAAATAATATGTGAAATAGATCTGCTGCAAAGATACAAAATAAACAGTATGGTTGACTTTGTGAGATCATGAGTTGATGTGAACTAACAGGTTGGAATATTTATAATGTCAATCAGGAGAATTGAGCTTTGACTCTGACACTTGTAGATATGACATGACAAAATTTGGAAATAAACAAGAAAATATAGCACTCCTTTAAAAGAAAAACTATTTTGTTGTATGTAATAAAAACATTAAAAAAATTCTTTGGTGTCAGAAAAGAAAAGAAAATATCATTGCGTCAGATATAAGTGAAACTTTCAAAGTTGGATCAACACTTGTGGATAAAGTTGAACAAAGATATCAAATTGATTAACAGAGAGTGATCTTTCCCGAGCCCAATCTGGTCATCTAATTTCACTTGGAAACAGGAAAGTGACCAATCAGGAGGTGGACAGAGAAAATTGGGACCAATTAAATTAAGAATTTTGGGGAAAAATCCTTTAAACAACCCCAAAATTCAAGGACAAAGTGTATTTGCTTTTCTCTTGCTCAACCTGCTTGTCCTCTGTGTCTGTTTTTCTGCTGTCTTAAACTCCATCTTTATTTTGCTGAACTATGTCTGACTTCCAGCCAGTCTGCCCTGGGACCATCTGATCACATCAAAACTTTGACAGATTGCTGTTGGATAACCACTGAACTATAGACTGAACTTCTTTCCATCCAAGAAAAGTTCTTGACCAGAATTATGTAACCATTGTCTTCCAAATAAACAGTTTATTATGTAGAAGTGTCTGTCTCAGTGATGGCAACCACATCGACCACATTATGCTTGCATCTTTTGTTCAACTTGACAAGAAGAGGGATTAACCGTCCACTTCCTCCCCATCAGTAATCTTTCAGGTATAAAATTATTTACTGTATTTCCTTGATTAAATCCCATAATTCAAATAAACTCTGGAAAATAAAAGTACTGTTAAAAATAAACCCCAGATTGAAAAGCATTGAAATCTTATTGAAGTACAGTACTGCACTGTATAAAGTAATGTAGTTTAAAGTGGCAGGTAAAGAAGACTAACTAAAATTCTACTTTTTCAAATTGTCTAGTCCTTTGTACTTACCATTGCAAAATTCACAGAAACATTTTACGAAATATTATCGAATAATGAATATGAGAAAGTTGTGATCAAGTTCAAAAGATGAGAACTTATCAGTCAAAGGATAATTGGGAAAACTTGAATTAGAAAAAGATGGTGAATTTGAATTATCTTTTGGGAAAATTTTTAGGATGCTTTGATGTCATATAGGAACCAAGAACTTGATTCCTATAATGACATCAAAGCAGATGTGAAAGACAACATAATAATTGAATTTATGAGATCCTGGACAGGTCTAAACCTCCACTAAAATTTATGTTAAAATTATTATTTTTTTAAGAGAAGAAAAAAAATAGAAGCTAAAAAAAATGCCTGTTTTAAAGTCATAAACAATAGGAGAAATGTAAATCCTAAGATTGACCATTTCCAGTTGGGAAATTGAATTCATTTCGAATTTGATCTCTCCCACAATCCAAGTTGGGATCCTGTTACGTCAGTAACAAGCAAGTGATCATTTGAAAAGGAGGAGGGAGAGTGACCAATTGAGCAATCAAGGGCAAAACTTTATTTAATCCCAGTCTTCAAGGACATGACACACACTATCTGTAAGTGTTATCAGTCACTACCCATAAGTGTCAAGGCATGTACTGTACAATGTCAACAGAGAGTGTTGACAATGTCAATGTTGTTGGTCCTCATTGTGGTAGTCATCATAATTGTCAATGGCATCATCCTTCTCCTAGTGTCATCATCTCCCTCTCTCCCAGTGTTGTTGCCTTCCTTTTGAAGTTTCTACGGATTTAAACTGATCAAACCTACAACAATTCATTGCTGCCCCGGGGCTGCCCAACTATCAAACCTTGTGGACTGAATCCAACTCAACTGGGAATATTGAGACATTTGTCTGTTACCTGAAGGACTCACATTAAATATAGATAAGTGCAACTTTTGCTTAATAAACAGTTTTGTAAAGGCACTTTGTATTCTCTGCCTCCTATGCCACTACCCATATATGTGAGTGTACCTAGATTATCCTGATGATGGATCCATCTTTAGTCAAATGAAAGAAGAATAATAATAATCTTCTTTCCTTTAGCACATGATTCAACATAAATGATCATATCAATTATAGTAAAAGAAGAAAGAGTGATAATGATGAATCTTCAATTGAGAAAGTCCATCTCCAACCTGGATAGCTGAATCCTTTAGACCAAGTAGTTGGTTCAAAATCAGAAGGATGTGTTTGATGATGCAGCAGTTTCACACCAAGAAACACCGGAATGTCAACGGTAAAAAATGGACAAGTTGCCAAGAATTCATAAATACAGTAGCTTTAGAAGGAGGAGATCAAGGAGAAGCAAAATATAAAAACTTCTAAACCCCTTAACTAATATCATTTTAAATACAGAATGAAGTATACAAATGTTAGTCAAAAATTTTGGTTACTGAGTCAGCTATTTTTGTCACACACTCCTCCAAAATTAAAACTAAGCAAGGCCACTGAATATTAAATATATTATAACATATAGTACTGTAATATTAATTAACACATAAAATGTAAACTATAATTGTGTACTCAAAGCTTCTTATCCTCAAATTGTTGTACTTAAATCTTCCAACTTGACAAATGTATGAGGTAAATTCGTTTTGGTTTTAATTTTTTGGATTTTTAAAAAACATATAACATTATAAAATATTTTTAATATTAAACTAAATATATATTTCCTTATTACTTTCTCATGACCAGTTTTTAAGGAATTGTCAACAGTTGAAGAGGGATTTAGACTCAAAAGACATTCTACAATGACAATTCAAAGTGATCAATTTTGCCATGCTCTTTTAAACACATATCCTGTATGATAAGCTACATTTGTTAAGTTGTGAGATTTACAAAGTACAAGGAATTTATTATTTATACATGCATATATATTTACCTATATCAATAGCACGATCTAAATTTCCATTAAATAAATGTAAATATAAAATAGTTTTATACAATTTTCCAATACTTTTCAAATCATCAAATACAAGGGAGTTTTCCTTGCAAAGTATTTCCATACAACTGAAAAAAACAAATTTTTATATATAAAATATTATAAGGAAAAAAGTTATAATTAATACAGATATAAAAATTATATACCATATTTTTATGCATATAATCCATAATCCACAGCAGCGTATAACCCATGGTGGTGTATGCACAGCAGATTATTGTTAGCCCATAAATAAAACCCATCCACCATATATCCCACAGTAAACATTCCAATATGCATCAAATGGTGCATCGGTGAACTGTGATATAATAAAATGTTCACCGATCAGTTCATTGGTGCAGTGACAAATCCACATTGTACTGGTTGGCTGTGCATACGATGAATTCTGATGAAGTAATATGACTGCCTCCATAGTTATATAATTAACACTTTTTATTATGATTTTTATTACTCATCTGTATTAATCCAAAATTATTTTGACAAAACAAGTCTGCAAATGCTAATATGCACTGTTTGCTTCCATCATCTTTTAGGGTGCCAGAATTTCCAGTAAAAGCTTATTAAACTATTCACTAGTGTATTGGTTGTGACTGAGACTGAAGCATACTGGAATATACCCATACTTATGGAAGCAACCATTATTTCACAGGTGCAACTTTGCAACTTAAAGTTGGTGTATAACCTGCCATATCACATAACATGACTTATTTTTCAATTGTCTTTTAAACAGATAATCCAAGGATTAAAAGCATGAAAATATGGTACTTGAAATTTAAAATTAAAATCATAATATAAAAAACACTTCTTTTTGTTATAAGAATAATTTTCCATACTAATTCATTGCATTTTCTTCATATTGTATCTGCTTTTGTATAGCCAATCTGTCTCTATAAAAATGACTTTCAATAAACAGGATATGTGAATCTATTATCTATAAATAAAAATGAATATACCTTTAAAAGATTAAATAATACATAAAACAAAATATTGTATATCAATTGCTTATAATCTAAGAAACAAATAGAAAAAGGAAAATAAAAATGATGATTAACAAGTTAATAAAAATTAAAATTAAAAAATTAATTAAAAAACAGGTATTTTTCAAAATAAGTTATCCCCCATATTTCAGTATATAATATTAAAAATTATGTAAATTTTATAATTTTACATAATTTATAAAAATAAAAAATCATTATTTTCTTGTAATAATATAAATAGTAAAATAACAGAAGATATTAATTAAACATATATTCTTTGAAAACAGCTTAAGACAGGCTCCCTGCCTCTTCTATTCAAGACGATTTTAATGTAAACAACTGAAATATAAACTGTATAGCACACTAATGTTCTACTGAGTTTAAAACTTTTGTAGAAAAGAAATGCTTGTATACAAGATAACTATAACAAATGTTTTACTAACATTTGAAAAGATATTTATGCATAATTATTTAAATAATGATATCAAATAATATCTTATTTATTGTAAAATGTATATGCAAACACTTGTATAACAATAGAATTTTCTCTCTAATTTTTAAAGTCTGTTTAAGGTGCAACAGTTGGAATAATCATAAAATTATTTTGGAAATGAAAATGGTTTTGTCTTAAATATCCTGCAAATGTAGTATACATCTCTATAAGGAGATAACTGGCTTGCCATTTCCAAAACACCCTCTGATAACCAGGTGAGACATGTGGATTCAAGTGGTTTGTTTTTATACCAAAAATTTCTCATCCTTAAGTGCATTCATTGATAAACTGGACAAAAAGTTTTCAGCAGTTGCAATGAAACTCAAAAGTCTGTCGAAATAAGAAGTTTTATTAAAGGAACTCTACACTGTTTATTCATAAAGTTCCTGTGCAGGAACTTTATGAATAAACAGTGTAGTTCTAAATATGAGGAAAGCACACTATAACCTAGTTGTCTTGTGGCCATTGGCCATATCTACATATGTATTTTTAATTGTATATAGTTGTAATTCCAATCCTTTTTCCAATCTTTTTTCCTAATTTCTTCTATTCCCTTTGTCTGTTCCTTCTAGAATCTTCCAAATGACCGTTATCACCTTTGGGTAGGATTAGCCATTCTGAAAATCAGAAGTAACATATTGTTACTTCTGATTTTCAGATAGGGTGGCCTGAAGAAAAAATAGTGAAGAGACTTTCACTTTTTGACTAGATATGGAGGAGTTGGACGTGTTGCAAGGAGCTCTGAATAAAGTTTTGTAGAGAGGACAGAAGTTTGAGATAGTCCAGCAAGGGACCAAGATAGATAGTTTGAAGTAAGAGAGAACCTCGATAAGTGATAGAGAAAAGTGGATCCTGAAGACAGAAGTCACATAATAGAACCCAGGTCCTACCCAAAGTGCATATCAACCTGATATAGAGAAACCCCAGGTGAATCATCTCCTAATTTCTTATTCCTTCCCACTATTCTATCTTCCTCATTATTTCCTTAGTATTAAGATAGATTTAAGTTAGGTTTAGTTACATGCTTACTAGAAATTAATTGTCATGCAATCAGGAAAGATACACCATTGTGCTTTGTTTGGAACAAAGAGTTCTTTGTGTAAATCACACGATTGTAAATTATCGCCAAATCAATTGGGATTCCTTATTTAACCTTTTTGTTCAAAGTGAAATAAAGGGACTGTGAATATTGTTATAATTGTCATAGAGTCCTTTCTGTACTTTTTGTTCGTGGACTGTACTTTACCACTTTTACAAACACAACAGTCTACTGAGAAGCACACTATAAGCTAGTTGGATGAATTTGCTTCAGAGAAACTAGAATACTTCCTAAGCAAAAATCCAGATATTTAAAATATAGGTCCTGAGTCTCTTCAGTCACAAAACTGGAGACTTTAGTGAAAACAAAATATGCTCTTCTCACTTATGTTGATGTTGAAAGATCATTTTTGCTATTCAAAGATTTACTTTCCTCACAGCATCTACAGCTGACCATGGAGAATGTACAACAACTGTGTTTGCAAGTACAGTGCTTTTCTGTTTGTAAACTGTAAAACTAATGGATCACATTTTGAAAGTAACTTACTGATTCAAATTTTTTATAATTTTTTCAAGTTTTATGCATTGTGTATATACTTTCATATGCAATAAAATGATGGTTTTACTTTTATATGTTGTTAGGAACATTTTTTTGTAAAAATTCATTACTTTTTTAGCCCTTTTTCTAAAATAAAATTTGTACCTCAGCTTCTCAAATTTAATAATCACTTTCAATAAAATTATATCACTCATACACAAAAAGCAAAATCAACTTTTCGTTTGATTTAAAAAAAAAACAATTATATTTCTAAACTTGCAAAAAGTATTTTATTTTAAAATTCTCTTTCTTTCTTATTGTTTTCTTAGTTTTGAAACAGAATAATTTTAAAGATGTTTTTTAGCATGATTCTCACATTTCTTTTTTTCTTTCTTTCTTTTCAAATTTTAATTTTATATTTATTATGGAATTTCATATGAAAGCAACATATTACTCATTTATTTTTATTCAATCACTTATTTAATTAAAATTATGTTTGTGTTATCAATATTAAAATTTAAATTGATAATATAAATAATTAATATAAATATCTTTAATCATATTAAAATTTAAATAGTTAAAGATATTTATATTAGCTAGAGAATAATTATTTCAAAAATACTCACTTTATAAATTTTTTTTTTTAAAATACTTAATATATTTTTTAGAAATTTAGCCAAATCATATGCAATATTAAAATCAGTAGTTTTTATATATATTTGAATTGCTATAGAAAGAAGTTTACATTCTTCAGACATCTCATTTTTATTTGATCTGTTAAAAATATAAATATTTATTTAATATTCAATTCAATATTTAGTTATGATTTAATGTAATACTACTTTTTAAAGATATTATTCACTCACCAATTGAATTTTGTATTGAAGATTTTAATTTGTTAAATTTAACAAATGTTTACTAACAGAATAATTATGTGTTTTGTTAGCACAATGTTCCTGTATGATATGTTCTCAACAGCAACATTGGGCTAACAAAACACATATAATAGAGAACAACAAGCAACCTTGATTCAAGAATAATTATATTTAAAAATGAATTTTTATACAAATTAATCAGACTACTAGATTAAGTTACTTTGAGTGTTATAATTTGATGGCAAGGATAAATTTAATTTTTTATTGCAGCTTAGTCACTATAAAAAATTTTTAAAAAATCAAATTCTTTTCTTATATAGAGTGTAATGGATCATACCAAATAGTAGCAAATACTCAGGATTTTTAAATGAATGGGGTTTTAAAAAACACATTACTGTACTTTTTCATAATGTAATTTATTAATTTTTACATAACAGGTATATATAGAGTAACAAAATACAGTAGACTAAAGAGAACCAAATGGGTACAAACTAAATATAAGTTATATATTAATACAATATGATGTTTAATTTTATTTAATTTTTTAATTCTTCATAAATGGGGATTAAATCCATAAAACATCCATGTGTACAGTCTTACTATATATTTTCCAGAATATTTTCATAACACAATCAAATTAAACTAAAATACTTACCTTTTCACAATTTTTATCAAATTTTGGATTGAGGAATTCCTGTAATATGCTGGAAATGAATGCTTCAATAAATGAGATGCATTTCTAATATCACTTAGAGCTTTTGTATAATTTTTCTCATGAAAATTCAGCTGTAATAAAATTTAGTTTTTGTAAATAGAAATTTGATTAAAAATATTTTATTCGTACGAGATCTGTTCAAAAAGTATCAGACTTTTATTTTTTCCATGTAAACCAATGATGCGCGAGAGGCCTCTTTTGGTGGAATTGTGGAGGGGACAGTCATACAGCCCTGAATTTTTTCCCGCCTGCAGGAAGCATCAGTTGTTGGCAGTTGGCCTATGAGTGAGGACATGTAGTGAGCTCTCATCGGATTCCACTAACAAGTAAGTTGGAAAATGACTGAACAACGTGAGCAGCGATATTACATCAAATTTTGCCAAAAACCTTGGCGATACCTAAGCATAAACCATTTGCAAGATTCAGCAGGCTTTTGGGGACAATCTTTGAGACCAAAAAAAGCACGGTAGGTCTGCAGCAATATCAAGGTCATGTTGACAGTTTTTTTGACTCTCGTGGGGTGGTGTATCGTGAGTATGTACCACAAGGCCAAACCATCACAAAGGAGTACTACCAGGAGGTCCTTCGTTGTCTTTCCGATGCTGTGCAATGCAAATGACTGGATCTGTGGTTGATCAAAACTGGGCAGCTCCATCATGATAACGCATCCGCCCATTCTGTGCATCTGATTAGGGCTTTCGTCGCCAAACACAACACTCCTGTGATTCGTCACGCTCCGTACTCTCCCCACATGGCTCTGTGTGACTTTTGGCTATTTCCCAAGCTGAAAATGCTACTAAAAGGAACTTGATTTTAGTCGAGAGAAGACATCGTGTAGAATGCGACGGACCGGCTGATGGCCATTCCAAAAGATGCGTTCCAGCAGTGTTTCCAGCAATGGCAGGAACACTGGGAGAAGTGTATACACTACCAAGGAGACTACTTTGAAGGGGGATTAGGGTTTTGTACCTCAAAATCAATAAATGTATTTTTGCCGACCAAAGGTCCGATACTTTTTGAACAGCCCTCATATATTATCATCATCTCAAGAATTTGTTATAGATTATTAATAATATAATTTATATAGTCTGTGTTTAAAAATCCTAGTGTGTTCTGAAAATCTACATTTTTAAGAAACAATCTAAAATACATATAAATTAAGACTTTAAATTTATATAAATATTTTAAATAACTATAAAATGAATTTCAACTGATCTCATAAGTATTTCAATAATACATTTATTTAGCTATCTATAATTTTATTACTTAGCATAAAATCAACTGAAAAAAAATTAGAATTTTATTTCATGTAATTTCCAAACAATATAATAAAAAATAATACATTTTTTTAAAATGCTAACTTAACAGGATAACAAAATGTAAACATGAAACAAATATTTCCAATCTAAAATAACTGTTCATGCATAATTCATGTTTATCTGAAAATGCTTAAATCATTATATTTAAAGCATGTATAAAATACAATATATCAGTTCAATCCAAAAAATTTGCAAAATTTTGGCTACTTTCTAGCTATCATTCAGTAATAGACACAAAAATAAGGAGAAATTAAGCTTTCTGAAAATAAGACTCAAATTTGAAATTTATTACTTAATTACATTACATAAAAGAAATTTATTTTGCAAATATATCCACCTGTAGTGTAAATTTATGCTTATTGATGAAAAAGTTATGCATCAAGAAGGGGGTGTTGAATTCAAATGAAACTTTGTTAGTGTGGACACAATGACAGTAGTAATTAGTGATTGCAAAGATCGTAGCATTTTATGCAATAACAGTACAATTCAAAGAAACTTTTAGTACCTTGTTGGATCTCCTTTTGTTTGGAAGCATGAAGGTATGGGGAGGAAGAATGAATTTATTATAAATAAATATGTATGAGAAAGCAGAAAATAACAACAGCTATGCAAAAGGATGGTAGAAACAAGTGATAGGTGAAAAATGCCAGTCACATGTGTTCAGGTTAATCTGTTGTTTTTGGGGCTCAATAAGACGAAAACAAGGATAAGAATTAACTCAATAACTTTAATATAGCAATTAACATTATCAAAAGGGTATACATTAACAAGTATTAAACTGATGTATCCCTTATTTTATGGATATGATAATCATGTGTAGCACTGATACAGTAGGGAGATCTTAATTAACTATAGTATATTCAATGACTGAGCTGACAAGTCTGTTAGCAATGGTCCCCAAAATCATAAACTTGTCAAATCTTACATTAATTTTTGAGTCTTGGAATTTCCAGCAGACCTCTGTGATCACTCCTCAATCACCATGCACGATTCTAGGGCCACTAAGTTACACATTGTGTTAAGTACATAGTTCCAATTCCAGTCCACAACACTACCTTTTCTCCCTCCACTTAGACTAACTACAATCAGACTCTCTTTTTCCCTCGAGTCCCCCCCAAGATTTTATTGAAGCTACTGGTTCTTCCACTTACAAGGAGAGCCTACGGCTTTGGGGTAACGGATTTTGACAATCTTTGGTGTAGAAGTAGTACACCATGTGAGTGTACTACGTGTAAAATACTAAAGTGCAATACTCAAACATAATCAAGAAAATCGAACTTAAAGTTTTTTAGCACTTTATATATAAATTATACGTACTTCTATTTGAGCGTCCTGTGGCAGAGTGGTAACGAGTCCGATTCATAAGCTTGAGTTCTCGGATTCGATTCTCGCGTATAATTTTTTTTTAATTCATAAATACTTATAATGTATTTATTTATTTACTCATTCATTTCTTATTATTTATTTATTTTAATATATTATATAACTTAAGCCCATAACCCGAGAAAACTCGGGCAAGTTACATAGCGTTACATAAAACGCGGTCCTTAAGGGTTAATTTTTTTTTGAATTTTTGGAATGTTTTTTGTCTCCAAATTTTTTCAGAATTTTTTTCCCGCGCTAAAAAAAAATTTATCGCTATTTTAATGAGCCTTTGATAAGGCTCGATTAAGGCTTAATTGTTTTTTAATGGGATTTTTTATCAAATTAATTCATCGTTCTAAAGTTCTAGCGCACGGATTTTCCTTCCTTAAAGTTATTTAAAGCTAGTTTCTGATGTCAAAAACGACCTCCGATAGTTTTTTAATTTTTTTAATTAATATATTTTATTATATATAAATTTAATTAATTAGATGGGGTCGGAAATCGCAATTAAAATTTCAATTTTTTAAAAATATTTAAAAATATAGGCCTAGCTAGTAGTCACCCTACTTTAAACCCTTGTCATCCCGAGACGTCTATGAGAATGTCCCGGGAAATCCAACTCCAGCTGTGTTCAAGGTCATCCAGATGTGTAAACAATGACTCATCGGTGTTAAATTTCACAGAAAGGCGAGACAAAGGAAAATAAAATTTGAAGATTTTTCTTCAAAATTAACGCATTTCTTTCGTTTTTTTTAGTTTTTAAGTATTTTTTACGTTTAAATAAATTAATATCAAAAATGTCTATGTCCTTAAGGAGTTAAACAAGTTCTCGTTTAAACATACCTTGCAATTGTAAAAAAGCAGCATTTATTTGTTGTTCTTGGTGTAGACAGAATTTTTGTTTTGAATGTTTTTATCATAAGTATCATTCACGATCATGTACATCTGACAATGCTATGTAATTATATAATATTGCTTCAATAAATTATATTCGTTTTTCTTGGTTATATTTGAGTTTTGCACTTTAGTATTTTACTTCACTATGCTGCTTTGATACATCACTGTATAAAGAGTTATCATCAACAGTTTTTTCGTCACAACATGAAGAACTTGCTTCTCTTGACGACATTTTTTAATTATAAAATAATTTTTCAAAATAAGTTTTACTACACAAATACGTCTATTCGTGTCGAAATTTAGAAACGAACTGTTAAAGAGTGAGTGAAAAAGAACTCTGATAGAAAAACGCTCCTAGTGAGAATTAGATCGGTCACCGTTAGTGATAACAATTAGATGGGAAAGTTGACACATAGGTGTCAAGAATGCGCCGTTATTGTCAACAAAAGTATAAAAATATTAGACTTGGAATAGTAGAAATTAAATTAAAATAAATAAATAATAAGAAATAAATGAATGAGTAAATAAATAAATACATTATAAGTATTTATGAATTAAAAAAAAATTATACGCGAGAATCGAACCCGAGAACTCAAGCTTATGAATCGGACTCGTTACCACTCTGCCACAGGACGCTCAAATAGAAATATGTATAATTTATATATAAAGTGCTAACAAAAGTTTAAGTTCGATTTTCTTGATTATATTTGAGTATTGCACTTTAGTATTTTACAGGTAGTACACTCACATGGTGTATACCTCTAAACCAAAGATCATCAAAATCCGTTACCCCAAAGCCGTAGGCTCTCCTTGTTAGACCAGACAGAGGAGGATCACCAATAGGCTTCAAACACAAAAGCATATAAAGCATCATATGCTCTCCTGCAACAGATTTGTCCACAGATATTGCAATTGACACTCCAGATCTCTTGCACTCATGTGGCTGAAGCTGGCATCCCATCTCATCTCACAAATGCTCAACGGGTTATAAATTTGGAGACTGGGCAGGAAAGTATCATAAATATTGTTAGATAACTAAGACTAGTAGTAACAAAAAACACTTTTAATAAGCAAGTAAGATCAGCACAAATTATACAATATAGGAACAAGACAAAGGTGTCAAACTCTCAAACACCTGCCAAAAACCTATTTTTTTTTTGGTGGACATTGGTTTCTTTCATTATTGTTTATTATTATTATACTCAGTTTGAGCAGTTTATTAAAAACCTTTTTTTTGGTAGGGGTTAGGAATTGTGCATAAATTACATCTGCATTTTTCTTAAAATTTTTACACCCCCTCCCTCTCTTGTCCCCATTTGTCCAAGTTTATGGTAACCTCGTCCCCTCTTTGGCATCCAACAAAACTTAACCTCCCTTAAAACCTTTATCACTATTTTATAATAGATACCATAAGTAGAAGTGAAACATACAAGAAATTTTGAAATAAATATAATGAAATTAAACAGACATCCTCTAATGCTTAACCTCTACCCTACCCCTATACCCTCTTGTCCGACTTGTTGTAACTCCCTCCCCACCTTTCAGTGTGGACGTCATTTATGGATAGCCCCATAGAAACTTCTTAACAGCAACTAGGAATGTGTCATTCCTAGGAAACCATAGCTGTATGGGGCTGAACATTATCTTGTTGCAAAATGCTGCCCTGTCATAAAAGGCAACATATGAAGGCACAGGATTTCCTGAACATACTGTTGTGCTATCAATGTCCTTGTATTGTTACTGGGGATGACTAACTGTCATACAAGATGGTTTCCCAGACTAGCACACCAGTAGTGGGGGCATTGTGCTTATGCCATTTAATAGTAAAAGTATAATTGAGGTGCTCTCCAGTGGTTCACCACATGCTAATACAGTGGCATCTCTTCTTAAACAGAATTAGAATTCATCACTAAAGACAATATACTGCTAGTTCATAACAGTCCATGCTCCTCTCTTATGATACTACTGAAAACAAAGCTAACAAATTGATTTATATTTAATTTATTTAGATATTTCATTTTTAACATTTTTACTAAAGAAATAAATCTATCAAGTAAATAAATCTGTAATGTAAAATACAAACAATTCTTTGTAACCATCAAATGTAAAAAAAAAAAAAAAAAAAAAAAATAGCAATGACTGAAACTGGATACGAATATTTCAAAACACATTTTAAATTAGAAATTATGGTTTATTAATTTGAATATAATCTGTAATTAGTAATTTTTCAACTAATTCCTTAAGTATAATTGTCTAAAATGCAAGAAAATTAATAAAATATATTTTATTATATTACAATGAACAAACAACATTTAATAACAATAAAACCAAAAATAAATAAGACCATTTTCAATTTCTATAATAGTAGATGTTTTAATAAAATAAAGGTTTATTTTTATTATTTATTTTGATTATAATTTACTACTTTTAATCACATTCCATTAATTACACATTCAAATTTTATATTTTTTTTATATTTAAAATTTTGCTGATTGTTGCAACAGATAGAACTGTAAATTAACTGAATTATAATATCAAAATATAATTATTCACAATAAACATTTTATTTATATAATACTTACATGTGCTGAAATTCTTTTACTTTTGATATAAACTAAAGGAATAGCTAATGCAATATCATCATCAGATTTTGAAATGAGATGTTTATGAATTTTATGCATTGAATTGATCAAATCATTAGCAGTTTGCAAACAAGATGCTGCCTGTATATATACAATATATGAAAAATATATAATAAAATATATGCATTATGTTAAATTTACATTTATAATATTTATATGATAATTTTAAAACTATTCAATGACAGATTTTAACAATTAAAACTAAATATTGTGATATCTTTAACTTGATAAAAAATAATGAAAATCTGATCATTTCTTAACAAAGTTAAAACAATCACAGTTTCATTTCTATGCAAAATTTAAATTATTTTATTAGATATAAAAATTTCTATTATTATATAATATGTTTTAAAAATCTTTTAAATTTTCTATGAATTTAATATATTTTTAATTGATATCATTATTAAAAAAATGGTTATTTTAAAAACTATAAATTTTTAAAAGTTTTAGGCACATTTATCTTACAAAATTCCTACCTTTTAAAATGAATAACTTTTTTATTATTTTGTATCATTGTAAGAAAACATTCTAATAACAATTTCTAGCAATTTTAGCAATGAAACTTTAACAGTGGATGAAGTTTAAAGAATGCTGCTTTTAACCTAGTTAATGGACCATCTTCAGGTATGGACAGTTGAAAGTGGAATGTCAGTGTTGGTTAGAAATAAAGATGGGACAAATAATAAAGCAGGTGGAGGATGAACTATGACTACATCATTACTAACACATGTTAAACAGCAGAGGCAAGGACTCCCTTCCTTCCCTTGCCAAGCAATATCTTCTTAGTTCTTCACATCAACCACTGTAGTTGTAGTTCTCCCTTGGCTTGCTTATTCTTCTCATCTTCTTTCCTAATCAATATTGGTATTCTACAGTCCCTATTCCAGGGCCAGTGAGAGCTTGTGTGAGGCCTGGGATAAAGTGTCTCTTTGTCTCTTAGCAGCTTCCTTTTGCTATTTATTTTTTGAACAAATTAAATATGCAAAATGTTCATTTATTAATAAAAATCAGTCTTAAAGATTTTATTTTCTTTTAGGGGTAGGAATTACTAAGGACCCCTACGTTTTCTCTGGGCCTGGGGAAAAAATCTGCAGCTCCACCTCTTGACAGCATCATCCGTACCAGAAGATGGTCCATTAACTAATTCAAAAATATTAAACATTTCATAAACTTCACCCACTGTTATAGTTTCATTGATTAATTCAGCAAAGTAACTAAAATGGCCAGTTCATTCTTGTAGTAGTAGTAATTGATATTAATATGATATTAATACAATCATAAAAATTATATTTCTATCAGAAAAAATTCAGCCAATGTTATTAAGGCTGGAAATTATTTTGTTTCTCTCTTAACTTTCAAAGATAAAGATGCATATTTCAAATAATGTACCAATATTACTTCATAAGAATATATTTTTATATGGATCTGATAGAGATTAAATTAATCAAAAATTAGGACAGTCTTATATAATAAACTTTTTTCAATTTTATAGTGAATTAACAAAAATGAAAATAATTACAAAAACAAATATTTAAAAAAATGTTTTAATTGATTATTTGGCTATTTATTTTTTTACTTAAAAGTAAGAAAAATTTCAAACTCAGTGAAAGTGTATATAAGCAGANTAATCAGACTACTAGATTAAGTTACTTTGAGTGTTATAATTTGATGGCAAGGATAAATTTAATTTTTTATTGCAGCTTAGTCACTATAAAAAATTTTTAAAAAATCAAATTCTTTTCTTATATAGAGTGTAATGGATCATACCAAATAGTAGCAAATACTCAGGATTTTTAAATGAATGGGGTTTTAAAAAACACATTACTGTACTTTTTCATAATGTAATTTATTAATTTTTACATAACAGGTATATATAGAGTAACAAAATACAGTAGACTAAAGAGAACCAAATGGGTACAAACTAAATATAAGTTATATATTAATACAATATGATGTTTAATTTTATTTAATTTTTTAATTCTTCATAAATGGGGATTAAATCCATAAAACATCCATGTGTACAGTCTTACTATATATTTTCCAGAATATTTTCATAACACAATCAAATTAAACTAAAATACTTACCTTTTCACAATTTTTATCAAATTTTGGATTGAGGAATTCCTGTAATATGCTGGAAATGAATGCTTCAATAAATGAGATGCATTTCTAATATCACTTAGAGCTTTTGTATAATTTTTCTCATGAAAATTCAGCTGTAATAAAATTTAGTTTTTGTAAATAGAAATTTGATTAAAAATATTTTATTCGTACGAGATCTGTTCAAAAAGTATCAGACTTTTATTTTTTCCATGTAAACCAATGATGCGCGAGAGGCCTCTTTTGGTGGAATTGTGGAGGGGACAGTCATACAGCCCTGAATTTTTTCCCGCCTGCAGGAAGCATCAGTTGTTGGCAGTTGGCCTATGAGTGAGGACATGTAGTGAGCTCTCGTCGGATTCCACTAACAAGTAAGTTGGAAAATGACTGAACAACGTGAGCAGCGATATTACATCAAATTTTGCCAAAAACCTTGGCGATACCTAAGCATAAACCATTTGCAAGATTCAGCAGGCTTTTGGGGACAATCTTTGAGACCAAAAAAAGCACGGTAGGTCTGCAGCAATATCAAGGTCATGTTGACAGTTTTTTTGACTCTCGTGGGGTGGTGTATCGTGAGTATGTACCACAAGGCCAAACCATCACAAAGGAGTACTACCAGGAGGTCCTTCGTTGTCTTTCCGATGCTGTGCAATGCAAATGACTGGATCTGTGGTTGATCAAAACTGGGCAGCTCCATCATGATAACGCATCCGCCCATTCTGTGCATCTGATTAGGGCTTTCGTCGCCAAACACAACACTCCTGTGATTCGTCACGCTCCGTACTCTCCCCACATGGCTCTGTGTGACTTTTGGCTATTTCCCAAGCTGAAAATGCTACTAAAAGGAACTTGATTTTAGTCGAGAGAAGACATCGTGTAGAATGCGACGGACCGGCTGATGGCCATTCCAAAAGATGCGTTCCAGCAGTGTTTCCAGCAATGGCAGGAACACTGGGAGAAGTGTATACACTACCAAGGAGACTACTTTGAAGGGGGATTAGGGTTTTGTACCTCAAAATCAATAAATGTATTTTTGCCGACCAAAGGTCCGATACTTTTTGAACAGCCCTCATATATTATCATCATCTCAAGAATTTGTTATAGATTATTAATAATATAATTTATATAGTCTGTGTTTAAAAATCCTAGTGTGTTCTGAAAATCTACATTTTTAAGAAACAATCTAAAATACATATAAATTAAGACTTTAAATTTATATAAATATTTTAAATAACTATAAAATGAATTTCAACTGATCTCATAAGTATTTCAATAATACATTTATTTAGCTATCTATAATTTTATTACTTAGCATAAAATCAACTGAAAAAAAATTAGAATTTTATTTCATGTAATTTCCAAACAATATAATAAAAAATAATACATTTTTTTAAAATGCTAACTTAACAGGATAACAAAATGTAAACATGAAACAAATATTTCCAATCTAAAATAACTGTTCATGCATAATTCATGTTTATCTGAAAATGCTTAAATCATTATATTTAAAGCATGTATAAAATACAATATATCAGTTCAATCCAAAAAATTTGCAAAATTTTGGCTACTTTCTAGCTATCATTCAGTAATAGACACAAAAATAAGGAGAAATTAAGCTTTCTGAAAATAAGACTCAAATTTGAAATTTATTACTTAATTACATTACATAAAAGAAATTTATTTTGCAAATATATCCACCTGTAGTGTAAATTTATGCTTATTGATGAAAAAGTTATGCATCAAGAAGGGGGTGTTGAATTCAAATGAAACTTTGTTAGTGTGGACACAATGACAGTAGTAATTAGTGATTGCAAAGATCGTAGCATTTTATGCAATAACAGTACAATTCAAAGAAACTTTTAGTACCTTGTTGGATCTCCTTTTGTTTGGAAGCATGAAGGTATGGGGAGGAAGAATGAATTTATTATAAATAAATATGTATGAGAAAGCAGAAAATAACAACAGCTATGCAAAAGGATGGTAGAAACAAGTGATAGGTGAAAAATGCCAGTCACATGTGTTCAGGTTAATCTGTTGTTTTTGGGGCTCAATAAGACGAAAACAAGGATAAGAATTAACTCAATAACTTTAATATAGCAATTAACATTATCAAAAGGGTATACATTAACAAGTATTAAACTGATGTATCCCTTATTTTATGGATATGATAATCATGTGTAGCACTGATACAGTAGGGAGATCTTAATTAACTATAGTATATTCAATGACTGAGCTGACAAGTCTGTTAGCAATGGTCCCCAAAATCATAAACTTGTCAAATCTTACATTAATTTTTGAGTCTTGGAATTTCCAGCAGACCTCTGTGATCACTCCTCAATCACCATGCACGATTCTAGGGCCACTAAGTTACACATTGTGTTAAGTACATAGTTCCAATTCCAGTCCACAACACTACCTTTTCTCCCTCCACTTAGACTAACTACAATCAGACTCTCTTTTTCCCTCGAGTCCCCCCCAAGATTTTATTGAAGCTACTGGTTCTTCCACTTACAAGGAGAGCCTACGGCTTTGGGGTAACGGATTTTGACAATCTTTGGTGTAGAAGTAGTACACCATGTGAGTGTACTACGTGTAAAATACTAAAGTGCAATACTCAAACATAATCAAGAAAATCGAACTTAAAGTTTTTTAGCACTTTATATATAAATTATACGTACTTCTATTTGAGCGTCCTGTGGCAGAGTGGTAACGAGTCCGATTCATAAGCTTGAGTTCTCGGATTCGATTCTCGCGTATAATTTTTTTTTAATTCATAAATACTTATAATGTATTTATTTATTTACTCATTCATTTCTTATTATTTATTTATTTTAATATATTATATAACTTAAGCCCATAACCCGAGAAAACTCGGGCAAGTTACATAGCGTTACATAAAACGCGGTCCTTAAATGTTTTTTTTTGAATTTTTGGAATGTTTTTT